TTTTTTTTTCTCTTTTATTCGACCCAAATAACTTCCGAAAACTATTTTTTCATCAATTTTAAAAAAATCCCAAAGTAAAAATTGAAAGAGACGTTTCTTGTAATTATTACTTACTATATGGACCACAGAAATTAAAATAATTGAAAAAAGAATACCACGTGCTATTCGTGCCCGTATAAAAAAATATCCCAACTTTTTTGACTATTAGAGTAACGACTGAAAATTATTCATCAATAATACACGTCTCTTACAGACTAAGCCCCGTGTTGTATCTTCGATAATTAGATTTTTAATATATTTTGATTTAAAAAATTATGAAATATGTGGTTAAAGTGGTGAATCCTATAAAATATAGGTTAAGTCCCTGTTTGGTACACATTTTTTCAAAATTCATTTTCAACTACGCATTCTTCAATAAAATAATATTTTTCATCACGTCAGTAACTTTTCATTACTTTTTAACCACATATTTCTCATCATATCACTATTTAAAATACATTATTTTTTCTTAATGAGGTTGGAGCATCTCCCACGCATTCCATTAATTGTAGTCTAAATGGCTAACAAGTTAAAATACTTACAGTTTACGTGACATTGATATTTTAGCCCCGTTTGTTCCCCGTTATTTGAACACAAGAATTAATTTTGTGCCCCTTTTTTTCCAACATATAGGTCCCATTGTGAGGTAAAAAGTCAAAAAAAATCGGCCGCTGCATTTGTAACAATTGGAAAAGGTATTAAAATGAGAAAAAAATTGGAAACAAACAGCGCCTTAATAAATTATTGTGTCAAAACAGGGGCAAAATTGGTCTTAAGCGAATTCTATCACAACTCGATATTACGGCCTATGTATTTATATTTGCCCTAAAATAAATAACATGAAAACGAAGAAGGTGAAAATCCAATACTCTGACGGCAGAACTATAATAAAATAAATTGTTGAGTTGACATGTCTAAATATTATTAAATTGAGTACTATTTATTTATTTATTATTATTATTGTAGAACAAGACTGGATCGATCTGGATTAATTTATTTTGGTCTATTCAATTCTACTATTATACATGAAATTTAATGATTGTACGCATAAATTTTTTATTACAAAAACACGATCTAAATCATGTAGGGGTTGTTCTCTCTGTCCTTTTTAGTCCATTTTTTGTTTTCGATTTTTCAAAAGAATGAAAACACGTTTATTTATCTATTTTCAAAAATGAATTTTCGAAAACGAGTTTAAAATTTAAAAAAAAAATCGAAAATGGCAAAAATATCGTTTTGGGTGTTTTCAATTAAAAACAAGCCAAAAATTTCAAAATGTGTTTTGGGTGTTTTCAATTTAACGTCACTCCAACCACGGAACCACCACCAACGCCGCCTGCACCACACCACCACAAAAACCACCGTCACCTCTTGCACCACACAACTACCACACAAACGCCAGATCCGCCACCACCTACAGATCGCCACCCCCGTCGCCACAAGTTGCAGATCGCACACCACCACCACCGCACAGCAAGCACCCAACCACTGCACACCACAACCGCACCCACACCAACCATCGAATAAAAAAAATGACGAAGAAGCCCATAGAACAGCAACGTCCCAGGGAGCGCCGCTCACATGGAGATCGCCAAAAGTGCAGGTCTTCGGGTGCGTCAAGGATCGCAGGGGGCGTCGAGAGAGAGAGAGAGAGAGAGAGCATTTTCATTTTTTTATTTTGGAAAAAAAATTTAAAATGTAAAAGAACACATTTTTAACAAATATCAAAATGGACATTCAAAACACAAAATCGAAAATGAATTCACAACTAAAAACTAAAAACTCAAATGCAAAGAGAACAACCCCTTAGTATTCACCCTCATTTTGTCATGGCCACTTGCTAACCCAACTAGTAAACACTGAAATTTGAATTTAATAACTCCAATAATTTTTTTATACATTTTTTTAATTCAAAATCTGTATGTGAAAGATTTGTGTCCATTCCCTTGACCTACTCAAACCGTGACAAGTTGAGTTTTTTGGTAACGTGTCGCTATTCAAGCACAATTAAATTATGGCTTAATTTTTTGTAGGTCTAATTTTATGCAAATTTGACTATGAGAACCTGTGTTTGCCTTTCTTGAATTTTGGTCTCTCGTACCGACACAAGTCAGAGTCAGAGTCAGAGTCACGTGATTTGGAATTCTTTTTCATTATTATTTTTCATTCAACTTTAGGGAATAGTCGAATACACGTTTATTTCATGGAATTT